AAATGTTGAAATTTAAGTGCCAAAATTCAATGTTGGATTTTGTAAGGGTATAAAGTCTATGAAGGCAGTGTAACAAAACTTTAATTAACTCAGTGTTGTAGACTGATTCATTGGCTTTCTGAATGTGCTAAAATTTTCATTGTATCTCTACAGGGTAATCCGTAAAATACAGATTTATGAAAAATACATTAAAAATTAGTAATGAGACAAAATCTTGATTTATGTGAAAACTTAAAACACCCTGTACAAAATATTTATCACATATTGTTCAGAAAATAATCAGCTATCAGACGCAATTTGATTGGTGATCGCATCTGCCATAGATTCGTCAGAATCTTGAGTTTTCTAAAATATTTCAACTGTGATATGCATTTTAAGGAATACAACAATCAGCAAGAGTCCAAAATACTTGTTTGAACCTACCTGTAGTTAAGAAATGACTTTTAACGTTTATGTGAGGTAATAATTCTGCATATACAGGGTGTTCCAAAATTATTTTTATCAAAATGATTAAAAATGAAGAAAACATGAATGAAATCAAGCTTTTGAAAATGTAGGGCTTCACCCTTTAGGATTTGGGTACCGGACGTTGGTATCTTGTCATCCCAACCCCCAAAAACTTTCCGATTAGATAAGCTTCCGAACCACTAACCCCGTTTATCCAAAGTTCAGTCGAACCAAACCAAGAGTTGAAGTTTTCAAAGAAATCATGAGTAAAAAAAGGGCTCCGGTGGTAGTGGGAAGCTCGCCGGTGAGCTTTTCGGAGTTCAGACATCATTCATCTTCACGCAGGAGTGTTATCGCCCGGGAAAAACACGAAAAACATTTGTGAGCTTTGCACACACTACAGTCTACAATCATGAGTCTGGCAAAGAGGGATGAAGGAGAGAACGAAAACGGCAGCAGGGAAAGGTAAAGTGCGCCTCGGCTTTTAGTGACCTAATTATGAAATCAGCGCGCTTTTTAAAAGCGTCGGCGGCGGCGAAGTGAGACGAATGGGACGTTAAAAACCGCGCCGCGCCGCGAAACGTCAAGCCACACCGACGTACCCTCGTTACGCCAACGTCACGACACTACCCTCATACCACCAACGCCCACACTTTGCTGCTATCCGTCGAGAAAAAGAGAAAGAGAACAAGAGAGCGAAATGTTGTGCGAGAACATCCCCCATTTTAGGCGCGCCGCGGCTGAATGTTGAATGATGCTTGATATAAATAGGGGTCGGTTCATTACCCTTTTTAAATTTACAACGAGTGCGCGACACTCTTTAGTGCCCGGCGTGCCACGACCCTTCGGGGAGAAGCGAGTCGAAAAAAAACTTGTAAGCACTTCAATTTCGACGGCACTTTGCGAGCGTAAATCTAAACAACCGGCGCTAAATTATGTCATTTCGTTGATGGCTCAGAGCGGCACAACTCATTGGCTAGTCGAATTTATCAAGTTTGTGGAGATATTCGATGTGGGAACGTTTTTAGGGAATGGTTTTAGCCAAAAACGTGGAGTTTAAGTGACAAAGTTTGGAAAAAGACTCATTTTCATGTTGATTACAACAATTTTCGGAAAATATTTTGATGGAAATTTATACAGAATTTAATAGGCTTTCAGAATCTGAAGAGTTTTTAGAATAACTATACAGGGTAAGTCAGAATTTGTAGTTTTCTAAAGTAAATCAAAGGAGAGTTTTTATTAAGATGATTTTAAATGGTAATAAATCCAAGATGGCGGATAATAACATAATTTTAATTGAGACTATCACATAGCAAATTTATTAAACTATCAGAATTCGTTTAATTCATCGGAATATCTTAATTATTTCTCTTGAAATTTGAAAATTTCTAAAATAACAACTTTTCTGCTGGTTTTCCAAAAAAAATATTTTAGAAAACTTGAAATATCTAAATAATTAAAAAAGATATCACCATGCAGTAAAAACCAAGTTGTAGATAATTTATCTGCCTACATTATCTATTATATTATATATTCCTTAGTATACCGGGTGATACAATATTTCAAAAAATATTTAAACAACTAAAATTTAAGTTATGAGCTATTAAAGTTAACCATAAAAATATTCTAAATTGCAGATGTAAATCATTTTGATGCAAAAATTTACCAGCTTTCCAGAACAGTTTGAATCATAAAAATATCTGCGTCGAAACTCTTGCAATATCGATTATCCTGTCGACGCTTCAAGAACTAAGCGCACACGAAACTTTCCTACGAGTACAGTTGCAACGACGCCAAAAAGCTCATTGCCTCTCCAGAATTTATCAATTTCGTCCTTGCACGCGCGGTCCACGCGCAATATTGCGGGGCAAAAGTTTAAAACGGAAAACTAGCATCCGGGACGCATAAAACTTCGTCTCATATCGGTTTGTTTCATGCCGCATAACAATAGATCCCGGGGCCGAAGATAAAAGCGCACGCCTCCCCGAAAATATATGAAATGTCCTCCTCCGCGAGGCCCGCCGGACGTTTTTATGAGTGCCAGAAATATGGGGACATCATTTGCGGCAGCGTCGCGAGTAATATAATGGACGACCGGGCGGACGGACGTTAAGAGCCATGTGATTTGCGACTCCTTCGTCCTGCGCGAAAGACCAAAGGACCAAAAGGACAATGCGCTTTCCTTTCTTTTCGCCTTGGCGTTTTTTCGGCCTTTACTCGTCTTTCCTAATTCGTGCACATCTTCTTTCGTCCTTAAACGTCCATATTTTTCTATTTTTCGCCGGCAAACAACCTTACCAGTGCCGGGAAAAAGGGTTGGAAAAACTTGCAAGTGTTGCAGGAAAAAAAATCGCCTGTGAGAGTTATGGACGTTATTAAGACTCCATGTAGGAGCGCTTTTGCTGGCAAGCGTCGAAGATGATTATGTGTGTTTTTCCTACACACAGGATGTCTCTTTGTTGCTGTCCCTGAACTCTAAGTCGCGATCTCGGCGAGTTTTCAGACTTCGGAAAGTCGGAAAAGTCGCGTAGTAGGAATTTACAAAACAAACATTTCAAGGTTTGACTTTGGATGCGATTTACACCAGGTTGGAAAAATATTTTTGGAAGAAAATTTATCAGGAATTATAAAGAATTTATCTGGCTATCAGAATTACACAAAAAAATCTGAAAATTTCTACTGGGTGAATCAGAAAAACATAAAAACTAAAAAAATAATTTTTAATTTTATAAAAATTAACTTTAGAGTTCACTAACTTGTAAACAAAATGTAATATTAAATAGCTGTTTAGTCTATGTTATACAGAATTTAATTAGCTTTCAGAATATATCTTGTACATAAAAATCGGTTAACAGGTTTTCCTTTAATAGTAAAAAATACAACTTGTTTCAATTTTTCACTTTAAACCCACTTTACAAAACACCCTGTATAATTTCCACATAGTTCTTTTGACCAACACATTCCAAATTTTCTTGGCATCCTAAAATTCCTAATTTTGCAAAAATCGCCTCCATACTTTAGTATTGAGGTCAAAAAATGTTTGAAAAAAAAAGTTTCAATTCCAACTTTTGTTTCGCCACTCCGAAGTTCACCAAAGCGCGAACATTTGATTGCGAAAATCGTGCCGCTTTCCCCGACGCGGAAAATCGAGTCTGTCGTAATCTTATTCGACAGTGAAATTACTTTCCGAGTGTAGTTTACATACGAGTGTCGGCGCGCTACCCTTTACTTCGCCAACTACTCCCGCCGCCACCCGCCGCCCCCATTACACACATTCACACTCAAACAACCCCCGGGAAACTAAAAGTTCTTAACATTCTTAACGCAAACACCGCCTTGCGCACATTTTCATCTGTTAAGAGGTGGCGATACAGATTCCAGTGGTGACATGTTTGGTTTTTCCGGAAAATGAATTTTCCGGAATAGAGCAGACATTTTTATTTTATTTTATTTTATTTTTTACTATACTATCTCGGCATATCATCTGGTGAGTTGTTCTGAACGGGCTGTGTGCAGATCATGGAAAATCTGGAAAATATTTCGCAGCTTTCCCGACCGCCGTCGACGTGTGTAGGCCTCGCACGTAGAATAATAAAAATGTTTGCCGAAAATGATAGAAATGCGCGCTGGTAGAATATTCGCCCGTCGGCGAGTGCTGGAAATCTACACGCCTTATGTTATCGTTCTGCATTTTCCGATTTCCCGACGCTTTTCGATTCCCGGCTTTCTGTATTCGTATTCAGATTTCGGTGCGGAACTGAGACAGGAAGAACGCACTTTGCTTATTTATGCTCGGACATTATTCCCATTCTTTTTATAGTTTTGAGAGGCTGCGAAAGCGTTTTCCGGGATATTTTCGAGGAAATAAAAAGCGATTTAGGTAGCTGCGAGTATACGCTTTAAGAATTCGTAACGAGCGTTTAAATCGGTTGTTTATTATTGGCACAATTTATGAATTTCCACGAGGCGTCGGAATATAATGAAGTTCAACTTTGAATTCGATTTTCTTGAAAACTGGGAAGTATTTTCACCATTTTCAAATTGATATAGATGGAGAATTTATCTGACTACAAAATGCAGCAAAATTTATACAAATCATGCAATTAACACAAAAGTTATTTGAAATTTACTAATTAGCAAACAAAAATATTAATTTTATAAATTCAAGAAGATCGAGTTTCCCAGCAAATTTCTAGTAAACCCGGAAAGATTTTTGAATATTTCAAAAAGCAATCATATACTCCATCTCAATGGCTCTCAGAATTTTGCAAAATAAACAAATTTGGAAAATTTTTGGAAAAGTTATAGCAAATTTTTCAAAAGTAGTCAATAAAATAAGACAATTAAATACAAAGTTATGTTAACTTTGAAAGCAAATTACGCAAAAATTAAATGTTTTATACAAAACTTTTAAAAGAAATATTATCAATAATTTAATTCTCTACCAAAATACATTTTCCGCTTAAAAATTTTCCGATTAGATTCAATCCAAATCGTAAATTTCCCCCAAAACAAAATTCATAAAACAGATTAGCGGGAAAACAGGCACTCACCGTATGTGGACGCCACTAGAGTCATCAGGCAGACAAAGTACGAAAACGTTCCCATCGTGCTGGCGGTGATTTTCACTGGTTGGCTGGTGCACGACGTGCGGAAAAACTCGAACCACTCTCGACTATCTGCAACAAGCGAAGCAAACAAACGCATAAATACTCACGAAACACACATATAGCGAACGAATATTTCGAAAACATTTTATGTAAACGGCCGAATAAGTAACGCACGAGCGCGTTGTGTCGAATTTCGCTGACCGCGCGCGGCTGTAACTCGGAAAAATCGTTAAATCAGATTTTACGCGGCCAGTTCGCAGTTCGGCGATATCTGGAGTTTAGAACGCCGGCTGCGGGAGGTGGTTTATTAGCGGACGCATACGGTTTTTTAAACGCAAAAAGATGCTGCATCGTAGGGAAACTTTGTGGCTTTCCGAATGTGTAAACTTTATGAAAATCGGTGTTATGCTTCGCTAGGAATCTGCGATTTTCCACGGAAAGTCATAACAGTCCAGAGGACAGTGAATTGAAAGTTGAAACTTTGAAGAGCTATAATGCAGCAACGGAACAAGATTTTTAAACTGTATAAACTATAAAAGATGCAGAATTTTATCAGCTATAAAAGAATTAAATCCGGTTTAAAATAACTTTTCAAATAAAGTGGTAATAGAGACTTTTGTGATGTAAAAATTCTGAAATCATCGCACATTTATTCATAAATCAAAGTTGAAGTTTACAGCTGAATTACTTATAACCTATTTAATATTTTTGAGTTCTGTTTTCAATATAATAAAGGAAATTTAATCAGCTTTCTAAAAAGGTATAAATCATTAATATTTGATTAACAAAAACTAGTTTTAAACGTGAATTTATAAAAACAAAAAAATTTCCAACTTTGAACTGCAATTAAAAGAAAACTAAAAATTTTATAAAATTTATTCTTTGTCATTTAGAAAGTACAACTAATTGGTTTTCTATAGCAGTTCAAATTTTAAAAATCGCCCTCTTGGTTCGCTCACAATTCCAAACTTTCTAAAAAGTTTAATTTTAATCACTTCACGGAAATCGAAAAATCGTTAGGATTTTTGTAATTTTTGTCGCTTTTCCGTGATTCCCTCTATCCCTCCATTCGTTACAGATTTTTATTACTCTCGCGCTTGTGACCCCACCCGAAAACGACGTACGAAACATTAAACAGGCCTATAATATTACATCAAATAACAAATTAAACTGCAACCGGAAAAAACATACAATGTGTCCAAAGTATAACCTAAAAATAAAATATTTACTATAAACTATTAATGTGTAACCAAAATCCAAATTAAAAATATTTCCGGTTTGCAGGATAACACTGTAGCGAGTCATAAAAAGCTCGCAGGAAAAAAGCGTGTTTTATGCGCGCGAGCGATCGATCCGCTTTTTATTGGCGTGTCCACGACCACGACGGCGTCCTGGCAAACGCTCAGGATTCTGGAGGGAGTCGATTTTCCACTTTCCAGCGCGAGCTTTCCAGCCGTGATTTTCCCTTTTTTGATACTCGCGTGCGTCAGGAAGCGCGACGACGTGTGTGTGTGCATGGGGGTGGACCTCACCCTAAAAAACCTTCAAACGCACCCTTCGCAGCCTCAAAATCGTAAAAAGGATATAACTGCCACACGCAGTAAGGATAACACATCAAGGACACAATTTTACTAATAAAAAATAAATAATTAGTAACATGTACAGGATAATCAGAATAATCCTTGACGGATAAAAATTATTCTGTTAATTTTACGCACTATTAAAAGCTCCTAAAAGCTCGGCGCGGATCATAAAACACGTCCTCGACTTTCGCTTTTTTTTTTTCTTCTACTTTTTACTTTCGTGCTTTTTATGAACGCCGCAGAAAATAAAAGTTGTGGTTTTAATTGCCCGAGTAACACAAAAGCGCTTTTTCTCATTTCCTCAATAAAAACCAGCTTTCTTGACCTGAATATCAAGCATTCAAAGTTTTGATTGATTTTTACTTTTTGGGGGGTGGTTATCTGTTTTTTTGACTCCGGAGCTCTGCGAGAATTTACCTCTGGCAAAGCTTGTAGTAGTAAATTGGTTTGTACTAAATTTACATATAAATCGGTAAGGACGCCTTCTTCTTCTGTGAAAGCTCGGCGGCAGACGCCGCCATCATCGCCGCCACCGCCCCCAATCTTGTGCAAAGAGAAGAGAAGACCGATTGAAATTTCTGAAATTTCTATCAATCAAAGTTTTCGTACCAGGAGAGCTTTTTGGAGCTTTTTGCATTTTTTCGTATTTTGGGGAAAAAAATCTAATTATTGATTTAAAATATTTGTGTTGATTGGTAAATATTTATATTGATATAATATGCATCCTAAAAGCTCAAAATTTGAAAGTTTTCGTACCAAAAGAGCTTTTTTGGAGCTTTTTTGCATTTTTTCGTATTTTGGGGAAAAAATCTCTAATTATGAATTAAAAATATTTGTGATGATTGGTAAATATTTGTATTGATATAATATTCATCTTGAAAGCTCAAAACTTCACAATTTTCTTTGAAAAAGAGTTTTTTCTGAGCTTTTTTGATTTTTTTCGGTTTTTGCAGATAAAAATATCTAATTATAACCTAAAAATATTTAAGTTGTATGATAAATATTTATATTCCAATAATAACCACCCCCAAAGCTCAGAATTTGAAAGTTTTCCTACTTTGGTAGAGCTTTTTCCGAGCTTTTTCAATTTTTTTCTTATTTTGCAGAAAAAATATCAAATTATAAACTAAAAATATTTGTGTTGTTGGTAAATATTTATATTGCGATAATATCCACCATGAAAGCTCAAGCTCACCGCCCCTTAACCGGACGCCCTGGCAGTTATTAAAAATTTAATACAATTACGCACATTTTTCTCAATGAGCAAACAAAGTTGCCGCCGCGCGTGCCTCGGAGGTGAATTAATTAATTTGAAAGCATTATTCACGCGCCGCGCCGCTTTGCACGCCGCCCCCGAGAGCGAAAAACTCACATTTTGATGCCCGACGCAACTTTCCGCGCCCGCGCACACACAACTCAAACACAAACACAGTCTCATTAAAAAGTTGCGCGCAGCAAAAGCTCTCGCCCGTGAAATCCACCACCGCGGACACATGGTATGCGCTGCTAGAAAAGGTACAAAATGTAAACATGTCCAGCGTCGAGTCGAGAGTCGAGAAAATGTACTGACCCTTAGGTAATAATTAAAACGCGCGTGTATTGCGTTTAATACACACCGCGGAAAACAAGGAGACGATGCTGGAGGGGGATGAAGAGTGTGGTATGAGGGTGAGTCGTGTGGTCAGCCCCGCCAGCGCGTCCTGTTAATACAAAAAGCCCCAAAGTCATAAATAACATTTTCCACATTTCCACATTTTCGTCCCTGGAATGACTCGAGAGCTTTTTTCGCCTGCGAGGGTTGCTTTCCGGAGTGAGCTTTTAAAATACAGCCTAACATGCCGATAGCCATGCTTAACAATAACTCATATTTTTGTTTGTTAAAATAAAACAAAGTTAAAGGATTAATTCGTAATTTTGCGTCGGAAAGCTCTTAAGTATTTTGTTATAAGTCGGTTAATTATTTATTACTCAATAACTCAAAGAGATTTACACTTAGAGGGTTGATTCTTTCAAAAATATATTTTAAATTTATTTGTTAATGTGGGTTTAGATTTTTGTTACATTATCACTTCCGGTTTGGTCGTTATGAGTGATAAAGCATAAAAATAACATTTTCACAAATAGAAATAAAAAATGCATAAAAGTGATATCCATTTTGTGGGCCAATAAATCGCAGGCTATTTGCGGTACAATAGCTAAAATTTCAAACCGGCATTAAGCATTCAATGCTAATCGATCACCAAAATGGCCTCAAATGTAAAAATGATTTTTTATAAAATACAGGATGTTTTATTGCAAAAACACAATTTTAAAAGTAAAATATTCATGAAAAAAATTATAGCAACTTTAACTGCTTATAACTCCGCCATTTTTAAAGCTATTGCTATCAAATTTTATGTGGTTAATATTATATTCTTCCCCTATCTTCATGCAAAATTACAAAGAAATAAATTACATTTTAACATAGTTACAATGTGTTTAAAATTGAATGATTTTTAAAAATGAAAATTGCTTTTCTTTACATTTTACCCTGTATTTCGGTTAAAAATAGGGTTATGTATGTGAAATTTTGCAAAAAAACTTGTGAATATATTAGTGATAGCCTCAAATAATTTTGTTAAATGATTCTTGTCGTTAATTAATTATAAACAATTGACAATAGAAAAAACTTTAAATTTCAACTCCATATTATTAACACCATGTTTATCGCCCTGTATCTTAATAATAATTAGTACAATCGTAACCAAATTTTGTATACGGTTAAAAAATTTCATTGGTAATCACTCTCCAGAAAATGAAAACCATAAATCAAAAGCAAAAAAAACTACAGTGTGTTTAGTAAATATTTGCAAATGTTTCAAAAAATTTACTTTTTGCCCAAAAAACTGAACCAAAAATAAAGTTAGGAACATGAATCTTCATCTATAAATAAACAATAAGTTTATTGATAACTCAACAAAATTTCATTATCATAACCCTAGTCATTATTGACTTATCGCATGATAAAGTTAATATTAAAAATCTATTAACCTACATAAAATTTTTGTGTTTAAGGTTATGTAATACACTGTATATAAAACATGGCAACCATCCAACGTGCAATTAGTAATTTACGAGACGTATATTCAACCCACCATCCAGTGCCAAGCACCGCGAGTCGAGGATTGTAAAACGAAATCGCATAAAACGCGCGCGCGCATTGGAAAATCGCTACGGAAAACACATTTTCCACCACCACACCAACAACACAACACAACCCAAAAAAAAAACATGAGCAATACACCATCGACGGCGCAGTAAATGTTGAGTAATTTTCGTAATACAATATTTCCTATTTCTCGTATGAATAATATGCTATTAGCGGCAACATAATAAAATCTAGATGGAGCTGCACGCGATCCCCAATGCCGAACTTTTCCATTTTCATCGTTTTCCCCAACACAATCCTCCAATGTATAAGTATGCGTATATAATTTCCCAATCGCG